AGGACCATGTACCCAGGACCATATACACACAGGACCATGTACCCAAGACCATGTACCCAAGATGATAAGAGAGATGAAGAAGAGGAGGCTTTAGCAGATGATATGAGACAGAGAAGAAGAGGCTTTAGCAGATGATATGAGACAGAGAAGAAGAAGAAGAAGAAGAGGAGGCTTTAGCAGATGATATGAGACAGAGAAGAAGAAGAGGAGGCTTTAGCAGATGATATGAGACAGAGAAGAAGAAGAGGAGGCTTTAGCAGATGAAATGAGACAGAGAAGAAGAGGAGGCTTTAGCAGATGATATGAGACAGAGAAGAAGAGGAGGCTTTAGCAGATGAATATGAGACAGAGAAGAAGAAGAGGAGGCTTTAGCAGATGATATGAGACAGAGAAGAAGAGGAGGCTTTAGCAGATGAAATGAGACAGAAGAAGAGGAGGCTTTAGCAGATGAATATGAGACAGAGAAGAAGAAGAGAGGCTTTAGCAGATGATATGAGACAGAGAAGAAGAAGAGGCTTTAGCAGATGATATGAGACAGAGAAGAAGAAGAAGAGGAGGCTTTAGCAGATGATATGAGACAGAGAAGAAGAAGGAGGCTTTAGCAGATGATATGAGACAGAGAAGAAGAAGAAGAGGAGGCTTTAGCAGATGATATGAGACAGAGAAGAAGAGGCTTTAGCAGATGATATGAGACAGAGAAGAAGAAGAAGAAGAGGAGGCTTTAGCAGATGATATGAGACAGAGAAGAAGAGGAGGCTTTAGCAGATGATATGAGACAGAGAAGAAGAAGAGGAGGCTTTAGCAGATGAATATGAGACAGAGAAGAAGAAGAGGAGGCTTTAGCAGATGATATGAGACAGAGAAGAAGAAGAAGAGGCTTTAGCAGATGATATGAGACAGAGAAGAAGAGGCTTTAGCAGATAATATGAGACAGAGAAGAAGAAGAAGAAGAAGAGGAGGCTTTAGCAGATGATATGAGACAGAGAAGAAGAGGAGGCTTTAGCAGATGATATGAGACAGAGAAGAAGAAGAGGAGGCTTTAGCAGATGATATGAGACAGAGAAGAAGAAGAGGAGGCTTTAGCAGATGATATGAGACAGAGAAGAAGCAGAAGAGGAGGCTTTAGCAGATGATATGAGACAGAGAAGAAGAGGAAGAGGCTTTAGCAGATGATATGAGACAGAGAAGAAGAAGAGGCTTTAGCAGATGATATGAGACAGAGAAGAAGAGGAGGCTTTAGCAGATGATATGAGACAGAGAAGAAGAAGAGGAGGCTTTAGCAGATGATATGAGACAGAAGAAGAAGAGGAGGCTTTAGCAGATGATATGAGACTGAGAAGAAGAAGAGGAGGCTTTAGCAGATGATATGAGACAGAGAAGAAGAAGAAGAGGCTTTAGCAGATGATATGAGACAGAGAAGAAGAAGAAGAAGAAGGCTTTAGCAGATGATATGAGACAGAGAAGAAGAGGAGGCTTTAGCAGATGATATGAGACAGAAGAAGAGGAGGCTTTAGCAGATGATATGAGACAGAGAAGAAGAAGAAGAAGAAGAGGAGGCTTTAGCAGATGATATGAGACAGAGAAGAAGAAGAGGAGGCTTTAGCAGATGATATGAGACAGAGAAGAAGAAGAGGAGGCTTTAGCAGATGAAATGAGACAGAGAAGAAGAGGAGGCTTTAGCAGATGATATGAGACAGAGAAGAAGAGGAGGCTTTAGCAGATGAATATGAGACAGAGAAGAAGAAGAGGAGGCTTTAGCAGATGATATGAGACAGAGAAGAAGAGGAGGCTTTAGCAGATGAAATGAGACAGAAGAAGAGGAGGCTTTAGCAGATGAATATGAGACAGAGAAGAAGAAGAGGAGGCTTTAGCAGATGATATGAGACAGAGAAGAAGAAGAGGAGGCTTTAGCAGATGATATGAGACAGAGAAGAAGAAGGAGGCTTTAGCAGATGATATGAGACAGAGAAGAAGAAGAAGAGGAGGCTTTAGCAGATGATATGAGACAGAGAAGAAGAGGCTTTAGCAGATGATATGAGACAGAGAAGAAGAAGAAGAAGAGGAGGCTTTAGCAGATGATATGAGACAGAGAAGAAGAGGAGGCTTTAGCAGATGATATGAGACAGAGAAGAAGAAGAGGAGGCTTTAGCAGATGAATATGAGACAGAGAAGAAGAAGAGGAGGCTTTAGCAGATGATATGAGACAGAGAAGAAGAAGAAGAGAGCTTTAGCAGATGATATGAGACAGAGAAGAAGAGGCTTTAGCAGATATATGAGAAGAGAAGAAGAAGAGATGAAGAAGAAGAAGAGGAGGCTTTAGCAGATGATATGAGACAGAGAAGAAGAGGAGGCTTTAGCAGATGATATGAGACAGAGAAGAAGAAGAGGAGGCTTTAGCAGATGATATGAGACAGAGAAGAAGAAGAGGAGGCTTTAGCAGATGATATGAGACAGAGAAGAAGAGAAGAGGAGGCTTTAGCAGATGATATGAGACAGAGAAGAAGAAGAGGCTTTAGCAGATGATATGAGACAGAGAAGAAGAAGAGGAGGCTTTAGCAGATGATATGAGACAGAGAAGAAGAAGAGAGGCTTTAGCAGATGATATGAGACAGAGAAGAAGAAGAGGAGGCTTTAGCAGATGATATGAGACAGAGAAGAAGAAGAGGAGGCTTTAGCAGATGATATGAGACAGAGAAGAAGAAGAGGAGGCTTTAGCAGATGATATGAGACAGAAGAAGAAGAGGAGGCTTTAGCAGATGATATGAGACAGAGAAGAAGAAGAGGCTTTAGCAGATGATATGAGACAGAGAAGAAGAAGAGGCTTTAGCAGATGAAGAGAAGAAGAAGAGAGAGTTTAGCAGATGATATGAGACAGAGAAGAAGAGAGGCTTTAGCAGATGATATGAGACAGAGAAGAAGAAGGAGGCTTTAGCAGATGATATGAGACAGAGAAGAAGAAGAGGAGGCTTTAGCAGATGATATGAGACAGAGAAGAAGAAGAAGAGGCTTTAGCAGATGATATGAGACAGAGAAGAAGAAGAGGAGGCTTTAGCAGATGATATGAGACAGAGAAGAAGAAGAGGAGGCTTTAGCAGATGATATGAGACAGAGAAGAAGAAGAGGAGGCTTTAGCAGATGATATGAGACAGAGAAGAAGAAGAGGAGGCTTTAGCAGATGATATGAGACAGAGAAGAAGAAGAGGAGGCTTTAGCAGATGATATGAGACAGAGAAGAAGAAGAAGAGGCTTTAGCAGATGATATGAGACAGAGAAGAAGAAGAGGAGGCTTTAGCAGATGATATGAGACAGAGAAGAAGAAGAGGAGGCTTTAGCAGATGAATATGTCGAGCTGAATAAATAGTGTCTACTACAGAAAGACAGAATGTTAATAACGTTAATGCCATTTTATATGGATTTATTGTTATAATAAACATACAGTACATATGTTCACTATGTCATCATTTATCTTTACATTCAAACAACTATTTACAGAAATTGCATAATTTTGTCGATAGTTATAAATGTGATTAATTACGATTAATTAATTTTTAAGCAGCAATTAACTCGACTAAAAAAATTATCATTTGACAATCCTAATACCCATCCATCCATTTTCTTCCCTTTAATCCATTTCTGGGTCAGGGGGGTGGCAGTCAGAGATGCCACCCAAGTCTCATAGCACCAGCCCCTCACTGACCCTCTGCAGGTGGTGAGTCCACAGGAGGACGGCTGCTCTGACTGTGAGCAGAGCCTTGATCTTTCAGTGGGGGCTTTGGGCAAAGTGGGGTTAAGTGTCTTGCCCAAGGACACAACGACAGCAGTCATCAGTGGGAGTCGGTGGAGAAGGTGCAGAGGTGGGAATTGAACCCACGACCTTCTGGCTTAAGGCCCACAATCCTAATACATACACATATATGTACATATCTATATATATCCAAATACACATATATGTACATATCTATATATCCAAATACACATATATGTACACCAAATACACATATATGTACATATCTATATATATCCAAATACACATATATGTACATATCTATATATATCCAAATACACATATATGTACATATCTATATATATCCAAATACACATATATGTACATATGTACATACACATATATGTACATATATATATATCCAAATACACATATATGTACATATCTATATATATATCCAAATACACATATATGTACATATCTATATATCCAAATACCAAATACATTCTATATATTCAATACACATATATGTACATATCTATATATATCCAAATACACATATATGTACATATCTATATATATCCAAATACACATATATGTACATATCTATATATATCCAAATACACACATATCTACAAACATACACCCACACATTATTATTAATTATGATTTTTATTATATATTATTTGATATTATTATTTTATAAATATCACTATTTTTTATTACAATGTATCTTTCCAGAGCATTTATTATGAACGTTTTTTAAATGGATGAATAGAGATCCAGGCTCAGATGGTCTTTTCTTTCCCTGGGTTCTGAGCCCCTCAGGCAGCAGATGGTTATGGGCTTTCTACACAACTATTGCAGTGTTTAGATCAACACGATGGTAGAACTTCAGTGTTTTAGAATATAATAATAAGAATAATATTATAATAAGAATAATCAGCAAACACTGAGTTGGTGTTTGAGTTATAAGCGTTACTTAAAGTGATAGTCTGTAACTCTAAATGAATTACAAATTTTAGGAAATGTGTTAAATTGACCTCCTGGCCTTAAATGTTGATACAAAATAAGTCATTTTATTAATTCTAATATTACGGGCAAGTCCCGCCTTCCCTGAATGAATGAATGAATGAAATATTTATTTCAAAACCTGCACACATAATTTTACAGAAAACAAAACAAAAGCAAAAACACGTAGCTATGGCTCAGAATGCACGGTGCCGTCGAGGTTAACCAATCGAGTCATGCCAAGGGCTGTCAATCATCAGCGCTGATGCTCGTAGCTGCTCAGGCGCCTCTACAGCAGGAGGAGCCTCTCTCTCCTCTACAGCAGGAGGAGCCTCTCTCCTCTACAGCAGGAGGAGCCTCTCTCTCCTCTACAGCAGGAGGAGCCTCTCTCCTCTACAGCAGGAGGAGCCTCTCTCTCCTCTACAGCAGGAGGAGCCTCTCTCTCCTCTACAACAGCAGGAGCCTCTCTCCTCTACAGCAGGAGGAGCCTCTCTCTCCTCTACAACAGGAGGAGCCTCTCTCTCCTCTACAGCAGGAGGAGCCTCTCTCCTCTACAGCAGGAGGAGCCTCTCTCCTCTACAGCAGGAGGAGCCTCTCTCCTCTACAACAGCAGGAGCCTCTCTCCTCTACAGCAGGAGGAGCCTCTCTCTCCTCTACAACAGGAGGAGCCTCTCTCCTCTACAGCAGGAGGAGCCTCTCTCCTCTACAGCAGGAGGAGCCTCTCTCCTCTACAGCAGGAGGAGCCTCTCTCTCCTCTACAACAGCAGGAGCCTCTCTCCTCTACAACAGGAGGAGCCTCTCTCCTCTACAGCAGGAGGAGCCTCTCTCCTCTACAGCAGGAGGAGCCTCTTTCTCCTCTACAACAGCAGGAGCCTCTCTCCTCTACAGCAGGAGGAGCCTCTCTCTCCTCTACAGCTGGAGGAGCCTCTCTCTCCTCTACAGCAGGAGGAGCCTCTCTCTCCTCTACAGCAGGAGCCTCTCTCCTCTACAGCAGGAGGAGCCTCTCTCTCCTCTACAGCAGGAGGAGCCTCTCTCTCCTCTACAGCAGGAGAGGAGCCTCTCTCCTCTACAGCAGGAGGAGCCTCTCTCTCCTCTACAGCAGGAGGAGCCTCTCTCTCCTCTACAGCAGGAGGAGCCTCTCTCTCCTCTACAGCAGGAGGAGCCTCTCTCTCCTCTACAGCAGGAGGAGCCTCTCTCTCCTCTACAGCAGGAGGAGCCTCTCTCTCCTCTACAGCAGGAGGAGCCTCTCTCTCCTCTACAGCAGGAGGAGCCTCTCTCTCCTCTACAGCAGGAGGAGCCTCTCTCTCCTCCACAGCAGGAGGAGCCTCTCTCTCCTCCACAGCAGGAGGTGGCCTAAACTCCCCCTGGTGGCCAAACGCACACACTGCAGCCTGTGAGGTCAGAACCGGTTAGAGCAGAAGTGCTGCTGTAATATGAACCCAGAGCTGCTCTACAGACACAGAGCCAATGTCACTGACTCTGGGTCCTGAAAGACAGTGTGGTGGAAACAGTCAAAACACAAAAGCCACAAACAAAGACAGAAAGAGACTAAACAAAGAGAAAAACATACTTTTTTAATCACAATAGAATCAGAAACAGCAGCAAAGAAACAAAGAAGTGAAGAAGAGAAATCATTAAAACATCAGTCTCTGATGTTTATTATCTCTGAGTGATCGATGTGTCTGTGTTTTTAATCTACTGAGAAAGAAGCAACAACTGTCTTCATGCTTCAGACAGAGTTTAAATGTTTAGTTTAGTAAAAGAATCATGTTGAAGACGGTACTTCACACACGACGCACTGATATTTAGTACACTTTTATACATTCCGAAACTTCTGTAAAACCACAGCTCGTTATTATTATTATTATTAACCCGGTTTTCCACAGATTCACTTTAGTTCTTTCTCCAGAACAGTTTCAGACTCAAACCAGAATAATAATAATAATAAATCACCAACAGATGTCTCACTCTGAGCACAACATGAACAATGAAAAACAGCACTTTGCTAAACCTCGGCTCTTTCTATTGCGCTTTACAGATAAATAACACTGATTTTCTTTAAACGTTTCTGTCTGAAAAGAAGTGACCGAGGCTGAAGTGAAGACATGAGAGAACCAGCTGCAGAGGTGTGAAAGTTACACACCTGAGCTTTAATGCGAACAAACTAGAAAGAATAGAAGTGTTTACAGTCGCCTCGTGCTGTGGGAGGAAACTGGAACTATTCAGCCGCAGGCCCCCGCCCCAGGCCCCCGCCCGAGGACCTCCCCCGTCTCCTTCTCTCCAGGACACACACGCAGACACCCACACACACACACGCACAGACGCAAACAGACACACACACACACACGCGCGCGCGCACACTCACACACACACACACACACACACAGTTACCTGCACAACACATGCGGCCGTAGAGACGCGCGCCCACTTCTCCGCAGCTCATTTCGTGGATATAGTTGTTTCTGCTGAAGACCCCCCCGCACCCGGTCCGTGCCCAGTCCACGGTCCGGGCACGCGCGTCCGCGGTCCGGGGAGTCCCTTCCACCTCAGCCATGGTCCGTGTTCTTGTTGTGCGTAAAACTTTTCCAAAACCGCGCGTTCCTCCCTGTCTTTCCTCCCACAGCGCTCCTCCTCTGCGCGCGTGGAGGAGGACAAACACATCTGCAGGTCGTCTCGGGTTACAGCGCTTTACCACAAGCCACGCCCACTTTTCTCTGTCACAAAAACTCTATAATGCTTCAGACTTTTACACTTTAGACTTTTACACTTTAGACTTTTACACTTCAGACTTTTACACTTTAGACTTTTACACTTCAGACTTTTACACTTTAGACTTTTACACTTTAGACTTTTACACTTTAGACTTTTACACTTTAGACTTTTACACTTTAGACTTTTACACTTTAGACTTTTACACTTTAGACTTTTACACTTTAGACTTTTACACTTCAGACTTTTACACTTTAGACTTTTACACTTCAGACTTTTACACTTTAGACTTTTACACTTCAGACTTTTACACTTTAGACTTTGATGTAAATCCTTTCATTGAAACCATCGCTGCGTCGTTGGAAACTCACGGTCACAGTTTTACCTCCGGAGACTTCTTTACACAAGAATTAGAGTCAGTTAGAGATAGTTAGAGTTAGAGTCAGTTAGAGATAGTTAGAGTTAGATAGAAATAGTTAGAGTTAGTTAGAGATAGAGTTTGTTAGAAATAGTTAGAGTTAGTTATAGTTAGAATTAGAGATAGTTAGAGTTGGTTAGATATAGTTAGTTAGAGTTAGAGATAGTAAGGGTTAGTTAGAGATAGTTAGAGATATTAGTTAGAGGTAGTTAGAGATAGGGTTAGAGGTAGTTAGAGATAGGGTTAGAGGTAGTTAGAGTTAGTAAGAGATAGTTAGAGATAGGGTTAGAGGTAGTTAGAGTTAGTTAGAGATAGGGTTAGAGTCCCAAACCGCGGGAACAGGACAGACCTAAACCATTCTGTGTAAACAGACTTTGGGCGTGACGCAGTAAATCATCTCCAACACAAACAGCTGCGGATCATAAATAACTTTATAAAATACTTTTGCAGAAGGTTTTGGATCAATCCCCGACACACAACGAGAAGTTTGGAATAACAACAATTAAGGTTTAAGACTCTAAAAGTACTACACACATAAGTATACTAAATACACACAACTATAGAGAGTTCTACACACAGTGTGTGTCTGTGTGTGTGCGTGTGTCTGTTTGTGTGTGTGTCTGTGTGTGTGTGTCTGTTTGTGTGTGTGTGTCTGTGTGTTTGTGTCTGTGTGTGTGTCTGTTTGTGTGTGTGTGTCTGCGTGTTTGTGTCTGTGTGTGTGTGTCTGTGTGTGTGTGTGTCTGTGTGAGTCTGTGTGTGTGTGTCTGTGTGTCTGTTTGTGTGTGTGTGTCTGTGTGTCTGTGTGAGTCTGTGTGTGTGTGTCTGTGTGTCTGTGTCTGTTTGTGTGTGTGTGTCTGTGTGTGTGTGTGTGTGTCTGTGTGAGTCTGTGTGTGTGTGTGTGTGTGTGTCTGTGTCTGTTTGTGTGTGTGTGTCTGTGTGTGTGTGTGTCTGTGTGAGTCTGTGTGTGTGTGTGTGTGTGTCTGTGTCTGTTTGTGTGTGTGTGTGTCTGTGTGTGTGTGTGTGTGTCTGTGTGAGTCTGTGTGTGTGTGTGTGTGTGTGTGTCTGTGTCTGTTTGTGTCTGTGTGTGTGTGTGTCTGTGTGAGTCTGTGTGTGTGTGTCTGTGTCTGTTTGTGTGTGTGTGTGTCTGTGTGTGTGTGTGTGTGTCTGTGTGTGTCTGTGTGTGTGTGTGTGTGTCTGTTTGTGTGTGTGTGTCTGTGTGTGTGTGTGTGTGTCTGTGTGAGTCTGTGTGTGTGTGTGTGTGTCTGTGTCTGTTTGTGTGTGTGTGTCTGTGTGTGTGTGTGTCTGTGTGAGTCTGTGTGTGTGTGTGTGTGTGTGTGTGTGTGTGTGTCTGTGTGTCTGTGTGTGTCTGTGTCTGTGTGTGTTCTGTGTGTGTGTGTGTGTGTGTGTGTCTGTGTGTGTGTGTGTCTGTGTGTGTGTGTGTGTGTGTGTGTGTGTGTGTGTGTGTGTGTGTGTGTGTGTGTGTGTGTGTGTGTGTGTGTGTGTGTGTGTGTGTGTGTGTGTGTGTGTCTGTGTGTGTGTGTGTGTGTGTGTGTGTGTGTCTGTGTCTGTGTGTGTCTGTGTGTGTGTGTGTGTGTGTGTGTGTATGTGTGTGTGTCTGTGTCTGTGTGTGTGTGTGTGTGTCTGTGTGTGTGTATGTGTGTGTGTCTGTGTGTGTGTGTGTGTATGTGTGTGTGTGTGTGTCTGTGTCTGTGTGTGTGTGTGTGTGTGTGTGTCTGTGTCTGTGTGTGTGTGTGTGTGTCTGTGTGTGTGTGTGTGTATGTGTGTGTGTCTGTGTCTGTGTGTGTGTGTGTGTGTGTGTGTGTGTGTCTGTGTCTGTGTGTGTGTGTGTCTGTGTCTGTGTGTGTGTGTGTGTCTGTTTGTGTGTGTGTCTGTGTCTGTTTGTGTGTGTGTGTGTGTGTGTCTGTGTGTGTGTGTCTGTGTGTGTGTGTGTGTGTGTGTGTGTGTCTGTGTGTGTGTGTGTGTATGTGTGTGTGTGTGTCTGTGTGTGTGTGTGTGTGTGTGTGTGTGTGTCTGTGTCTGTGTGTGTGTGTGTGTGTCTGTGTGTGTGTGTGTGTATGTGTGTGTGTCTGTGTCTGTGTGTGTGTGTGTGTGTATGTGTGTGTGTCTGTGTCTGTGTGTGTGTGTGTCTGTTTGTGTGTGTGTGTGTGTCTGTGTGTGTGTGTGTCTGTGTCTGTGTGTGTGTGTGTCTGTGTGTGTGTGTGTGTGTGTGTGTGTGTGTGTGTGTGTGTGTGTGTGTCTGTGTGTGTGTGTATTTTTCCAATATTTTCCTCAGAGAGAAACAGGAAGTGAGTCAGAGTCACGTGATTCACACCATCCTCAGTTATCACTTCATATAAACCACCATCAAGTCCTGGACTGGGTCTAAGGACTGAGGTCTGAGGTCTGAGGTCTGAGGACTGAGGTCTGAGGACTGAGGTCTGAGGTCTGAGGTCTGAGGGTCTGAGGACTGAGGTCTGAGGTCTGAGGTCTGAGGACTGAGGTCTGAGGACTGAGGACTGAGGTCTGAGGGTCTGAGGTCTGAGGTCTGAGGTCTGAGGTCTGAGGACTGAGGTCTGAGGTCTGAGGACTGAGGTCTGAGGTCTGAGGACTGAGGTCTGAGGGATCTGAGGTCTGAGGTCTGAGGTCTGAGGTCTGAGGACTGAGGTCTGAGGTCTGAGGTCTGAGGGTCTGAGGACTGAGGACTGAGGACTGAGGTCTGAGGTCTGAGGTCTGAGGACTGAGGTCTGAGGTCTGAGGACTGAGGTCTGAGGACTGAGGACTGAGGTCTGAGGTCTGAGGTCTGAGGTCTGAGGTCTGAGGTCTGAGGTCTGAGGTCTGAGGTCTGAGGTCTGAGGACTGAGGTCTGAGGTCTGAGGTCTGAGGTCTGAGGTCTGAGGACTGAGGTCTGAGGTCTGAGGGTCTGAGGACTGAGGACTGAGGACTGAGGTCTGAGGTCTGAGGTCTGAGGTCTGAGGGTCTGAGGACTGAGGTCTGAGGTCTGAGGTCTGAGGACTGAGGTCTGAGGACTGAGGACTGAGGTCTGAGGTCTGAGGTCTGAGGTCTGAGGTCTGAGGTCTGAGGTCTGAGGACTGAGGTCTGAGGACTGAGGACTGAGGACTGAGGTCTGAGGACTGAGGTCTGAGGTCTGAGGTCTGAGGTCTGAGGGTCTGAGGACTGAGGTCTGAGGTCTGAGGTCTGAGGTCTGAGGTCTGAGGACTGAGGACTGAGGACTGAGGACTGAGGACTGAGGTCTGAGGGTCTGAGGTCTGAGGTCTGAGGTCTGAGGACTGAGGTCTGAGGTCTGAGGGTCTGAGGACTGAGGTCTGAGGTCTGAGGTCTGAGGGTCTGAGGACTGAGGACTGAGGTCTGAGGACTGAGGACTGAGGTCTGAGGGTCTGAGGTCTGAGGACTGAGGTCTGAGGACTGAGGTCTGAGGACTGAGGTCTGAGGTCTGAGGTCTGAGGTCTGAGGTCTGAGGTCTGAGGACTGAGGTCTGAGGGTCTGAGGTCTGAGGTCTGAGGTCTGAGGTCTGAGGTCTGAGGACTGAGGTCTGAGGGTCTGAGGTCTGAGGTCTGAGGTCTGAGGTCTGAGGTCTGAGGTCTGAGGTCTGTGGTCTGAGGTCTGTGGTCTGAGGTCTGAGGTCTGAGGTCTGAGGTCTGAGGACTGAGGACTGAGGTCTGAGGTCTGAGGACTGAGGTCTGAGGACTGAGGTCTGAGGTCTGAGGTCTGAGGTCTGAGGTCTGAGGGTCTGAGGACTGAGGACTGAGGTCTGAGGTCTGAGGACTGAGGACTGAGGTCTGAGGACTGAGGACTGAGGTCTGAGGTCTGAGGACTGAGGTCTGAGGTCTGAGGTCTGAGGTCTGAGGTCTGAGGGTCTGAGGGTCTGAGGTCTGAGGGACTGAGGGTCTGAGGTCTGAGGTCTGAGGTCTGAGGGTCTGAGGTCTGAGGACTGAGGTCTGAGGGTCTGAGGTCTGAGGTCTGAGGTCTGAGGACTGAGGT